ACCATCTGCAGCGCAGACCCCCATCGAGGAGTTCACCCCCACCCCGGCCTTCCCGGCCCTGCAGTATCTGGAGTCGGTGGACGAGGGCGGCGTGGCATGGCGCGCGGGACTGCGCATGGGCGACTTCCTCATCGAGGTGAGTCCCGGCCCTGGCCCCAGGGGCCTCTCCAGGCCCCAGCCCCTGGCGCACCTGCCCCAGACACCCCTCTCTTCCCCGGGGCCCTGGTGACAGATCTCGGGGCCCCTTGGGATCCACACCGGGACCTGGCGGCCCAGGTCCAGCCTCTCCTTTGGCACCGGGCTGCCCAGCCTCTGCTTTCTTCATGGATTTAATCCGAAGGCCTCTCTGAAGTATCTTAAATGGTGCCCCCAGCATGGGCACGTTCTCTCTCTCTCTCTCTCTCTCTCTCTCTCTCTTTTAATGTATTTTATTGATTTTTTACAGAGAGGAAGGGAGAGAGATAGAGAGTTAGAAACATCGATGAGAGAAACATCAATCAGCTGCCTCATGCACACTCCCTGCTGGGGATGTGCCCGAAACCAAGGTACATGCCCTTGACCAGAATCGAACCTGGGACCCTTGAGTCCGCAGGCCGACGCTCTATCCACTGAGCCAAACCGGTTAGGGCCCTCTCTCTCTCTCTCTCTCTCTCTCTCTCTCTCTCTCTTTCTCTCTCTCTCTCAATGTGAGTGGGACAAAGAGGAAGAGAGGGGGTGAAAGGGGTGTGTTTAGTCCCTCCCACAGCCCAGAGGTCAGGGGAGTTACAGGAACAGGGGGGGGCCTCACCAGGACAGAGGGTGGTGGGGAGGGTCCCAGGGAGGGAGGAGAGGCCCCCAGGGCCACCCCCAGGGGACCCCGAGGCGGAAAGCACCCCTCCCTCACCTCCTGGGTGCGCTTGGGGGGGTGTCTGTGCCACAGGTGAACGGGCAGAATGTGGTGAAGGTGGGCCACCGCCAGGTGGTGAACATGATCCGCCAGGGGGGCAACACGCTGATGGTGAAGGTGGTGATGGTCACCCGGCACCCGGACATGGACGAGGCCGTCCACAAGAAAGGTGAGCCTCCCGGGCTGCGCGGCCAGGCCCGGCTGCCGCCAGACCGACTCTCAGGAGCCCTCCCAGCCCCCGGCCTTCCCTTCCTCGAGGCTGCCTGTCCACCCGGCCCTTCCGGGGAGAAACTGAGGCAGGGAGGTCTCCTCGCTGCTGCTGCTGCTGCTGGCGAGTCTCCGAGCTCTGGGAGCGCCGCGGTGGTGGCTGGGGGGTCACGGGGCTTCTCCCCGCGGTGCCGAGGCCTGACCCCGACCGACCGACCGTCCCCTTTTTAGCACCCCAGCAGGCTAAGCGGCTCCCGCCCCCAGCCATCTCCCTGCGTTCCAAGTCCATGACCTCAGAGCTGGAGGAGATGGGTGAGCCTGCGGGGCTGCCAGGGCCCAGCGTGAGGGCGAGGGCAGAGGGGGCGGGCGTCCTCGAGTCTGTTAGTGTCGTTAGTGACCAGGGCTCCTCGTCCTCCTCCTGTCCCCGTCCACGGGCCAGACCCTCTCTGGCCTGCGTGTGTGTCGCTGGGAAAGGGGCGTCTGAGAGGCGACTTTTCTCTGTCCTCTTGCATCTGTTTCTCTGTCCGGGTCTGTGTGTCCCACGCGGCGAATCCGTTTCCTGCCCGGGCCCCTCTCCATCCGTCCCACCCCTGTCCTCCGCGACCTGCCACCAGCTGCCTCCTCCTCCCCCCACCGCCCCCCCACCCCCAACGCA